TACAGTGCAATAAGTTTGGAAACTGAGCATCAGTGAAACTGCTGCAGGATAAATTTGGTTAATATTTGATCAGATCGGTTATTTATTGGTTAATCATTACATCAACACTTATAAGATAGGTTTCAAGCTAGATTTGTCACTAATGAAGATTCATGCAAGTACACTAAATGAGAGTTTTAAGAAGCGGTCAATGTTTTGTTTTTGGCTCTTTCAATTACTGGTTTACTCAAAGTAATTTATTTCTGGTATTTTTAATCCTCAAGTTAACAGGACTCTTGAGGTATGACAATGATTCTCCTCTGCCTCATATTTTTAAATGAGCCTGGATCAGAGAACAGAAATTACCATTTTCATGCTTCTTTACACATTAGTACTAAGCAACCACCTGTCACTGAACATATTATGGAAAGTCTGGCTCTCCTAGCACTGTAGAAGATTGTTTGATTGTAGACTACAGATCACCTGCACTTCAAAGGTGCTCTAGATTTGTTTTTCAAATCCAGCAGATGTAAAATAAGAATTAAACTACAGTAATTCTACAGAGGTGAAATTATACATCCTGCCTTAATTCTGGCATTAAATTACAATGTAAAATAAAATGTATGGAATATAGGATTTGTTCGTATGGTCATGACTCTTTCTATATTTTGCCACTCCCCCATAGAAGAAAATCTTAGAACAAATTTTTAAGTCAGAGGACACAAAGTACAGAATTAGGAGTTATCTTATCTGGGTTCTCTTTCCACTTCTTGTGTGGCCCTAGGTAAATCACAGCCTCGCTATGCCTCCATGTCCCCATCTATAAAATGGGGATAAGAACATTACCTTCACCTCATATTGTCATGGGGTTAATTCATTAAATTGAGTTTGTCAGATGGAAAGTGCTATACCAGTAGTTCCCAATCTGTGGTCATCCCTGAAGCACTTGCTAATGGTCCATAGGAGGGTGACTTGGCATAGGGTTCTGACTCTCCTCATTCCCAGCTACTAAATAACATTTTTCAAAAAGCTAAAAAAAATGAAATACTTTCCAAATAATCCATTGCTCTAACTGCTGTGGAGATGTGATGCCCTCTTGACTGGGAGTGGAGATGGTGCACACACAGAGAATTTCACACAGGACAGAGGATGGTCCACAAAACAATCTTGTTGTTAAGGGGTGCTCCACAAACCTTGTCTAGAGGCCTGGTGGCATCAGTTCTTGAGATGGGGTTTTGGCTTCTCTTCTGAAGATTTTGTATCTTCCCCCAATATCCACTGGATGAAATAACTACCAGCCTTCTTTGCTGATTAGAATTAACATGGTGGTTTGTATCCAGCAGTGAAAACAAAATGACCTCATCCTATCCTGTCTGCTAATGTGAGAATGACATCAGAGCTCATCCAATGCATGACTTCATATATAGATAGGTCTGACGGGGCCCAGGGAAAGGATTGGATATGTCCCTTATGGCTTGCCAAGGAATTCCAAGAATGCAGGTGAGCCTGTGGCAAGAGTTCCAGAGACAGAAGATATCTTGGTGGTTTAGGGAAAGACGTTGGAACACCAGTATACTCTGCCTAGAGGAAGGGCCAATGCGGGCCTGGAATGAGGAAGGGGTTTATATTTAGGTTCTTTCAGCACTTAGTGATAGTCTGATGTTAGCTTATCAACTAGGGATTGCACTGCAGGAAACTAGCCACAAGGAGGCTCAGAAGTAGTCATCCCTCCATTTCAATTGCCTGGAACTCCTTGTAGACTTAGTCACAATTTCAAAGACAGGCCACTTGATTGTGTAACCTGTTGCACAGACAACATACCAACCATTCTGTATATCAATTACACAGTGAGTACTTACTCTCAATAGTGGACAGCCCTAACAAGTAGATTCTGGTAGCTGTTTCAAGAACTAAATTTCAATTCAAGCAGAGGAGACTGCAGGGTTGAAAATTACAGCAGCTGACAGTAAATCAATCACATTATTGGATACTGGATCTACAGCAAGAAAATATGCAAAACTGAGGGTCCCTGGTATTTGGGTCCATTGGGAATGAACTCTTGCAACCCAACTTTCCAGCCAACTGGATGCATTGTACAGCTAGAGACGGACCCACTAGGCTCTAGCAATGGATGCATTCCTGTTGTCTTGATTGTTGTGGATCCATTTGCTGTCCCTCCATTTATCATGCTTGCTGTTTCTCATGTAAGGAAACAGGCAACAATAACCCTGGTAGCATGCTTGACACCAGCAGGAATTGCCATTCTCCAACTCTATCTTATTCCCGGAGTTGGGAAACATCATTGCAGATCCAAAAGGCAGGCTGCACACAAGTGTGACAGCAGATTCTCTCCTTCTTGAGGCATAGAAGATTTCCAGAGTGCCGAGGTTGTTGTCCTGGGGCTAGCCCATGTTGTACAAGACAGAAAGGTATTTAATTCAGCCTGGTTATTCTACATTTGCTGGCTTTTTTCATGACAAACAGATTCTGTTTATATATCTGGGTGTTTGGTGATGCAATTCCTTATTATCACCTGCTCCCCTTTACTGGAGAAGTAAGACATAAAAGACAATCTGTTCAGTTTAGCCATCCATTCAGACTGACATAAGGTCAATTTTTTAGTCAAATCCACATGGAGTGTAATGTGAAATGGTTCAGATCTCTGACTCCCAAATACACAGTTCTCAAGAAAGCAGGGAAGACGAATATAGAATTAGGTCTACATCTCCAATGGCACCATAAGTGATGATGCATAGCATCCTGCTAAACTATTTAGCTACTCTTTAGGGTTTGGAGAGGGGTAACTAGTGGTGTTCCCCAAGAGTCAGTCCTATTCAACTTATTCATAAATGATCTGGAGAAAGGGGTAAATAGTGAGGTGGCAAAGTTTGCAGATGATACTAAACTGCTCAAGATAGTTAAGACCAAAGCAGATTGTGAAGAACTTCAAAAAGATCTCACAAAACTAAGTGATTGGGCAACAAAATGACAAATGAAATTTCATGTGGATAAATGTAAAATAATGCACATTGGAAAAAATAACCCCAACTATACATACAATATGATGGGGGCTAATTTAGATACAACTAATCAGGAAAGAGATCTTGGAGTCATCGTGGAGAGTTCTCTGAAGATGTCCACGCAGTGTTCAGCGGCAGTCAAAAAAGCAAACAGGATGTTAGGAATCATTAAAAAAGGGATAGAGAATAAGATCTATCTTATTGCCCTTATATAAATCCATGGTACGCCCGTATCTTGAATACTACGTACAGCTGTGGTCCCCTCATCTCAAAAAAGATATACTGGCATTAGAAAAGGTTCAGAGAAGGGCAACTAAAATGATTAGGGGTTTGGAATGGGTCCCATATGAGGAGAGATTAAAGAGGCTAGGACTTTTCAGCTTGGAAAAGAGGAGACTAAGGGGGGAAATGATAGAGGTATATAAAATCATGAGTGGTGTGGAGAAAGTGAATAAGGAAGTTATTTACTTGTTTCCCATAATATAAGAACTAGGGAAATTAGTGGACAGCAGGTTTAAAACAAATAGAAAAAAGTTCTTCTTCACACAGTGCACAGTCAACCTGTGGAACACCTTGCCTGAGGAGGTTGTGAAGGTTAGGACTATAACAGAGTTCAAAAGAGAGCTAGATAAATTCATGGAGGTTAAGTCCATGAATGGCTATTAGCCAGGATGGGTAAGGAATGGTGTCCCTAGCCTCTGTTTGTCAGAAGGTGGAGATGGAACGCAGGAGAGAGATCACTTGATCATTAACTGCTAGGTTCACTCCCTCTGGGGCACCTGGCATTGGCCACTGTCAGTAGACAGGATACTGGGCTGGGTGGACCTTTGGTCTGACCCAGTATGGCCATTCTAATGTTCTTATTTCAGGAGAATCAACTGCCAGCAGCCTGCAATGTGCTTATACTTTTGTGCAACAAAAATATTTCCAGAGATTTCTAACTATGGATACTTTCATGGGAGCTTAGCACTTTGCTGTTTAGAAGCAGCTGAGTGGAGCAAAGGGAGACAGGTGGCTACTGCAGAAACAAGCAGCCAAATGGCACCTGCATTTTCAGCTAATAAATGAGTATGGTTAAAAGATCTAGCTGATTTTATACCCAAGCCCACAAATTAAACTGCCAAAATAAAGCACATATCTAGTCACTCTACTGCACCCAAAAAACCCTATGTGATCATGCATCCTGGTACCACAACACAGCAAAAACTGCATCTGACATTTGGATCCATGTAAATAAAGCACATATGTAGACACTCCTATTGTGATAATCCAGATCAAGATGCATCTCAACACAAGAGCACAGCAAACCCTCTGATCTGGCTTGTGCCTCCTGATGGATCCAGCTAATTTTTGGCCGCAACCCTCCTAAATCGCTTACATAAATAGAGAGGAATTGTGTAAAAGATGCTCATCTTACACCCCCCGCCCCCCAAGTATTGCCAGCAGTGCATCCTAGGACAAAGGTGCTGCAAAAAGCTAGATCCTGCCAGGGTTTGTTTGTTTGTGTCTCATCAGCAAAATTCCACTGCTTAAATAGAGAAGATATTCACCCACTCATGCTGCACACTATAAATCCAGAGCTTGTGTCCCCATGCAACTGTGCCCCAAAAGGTTGGATCTAGCAATCAGATTTTCCTTGAACCTGACAAATGTTGGTCACACACTCAGAAATTACACCATCAAAATAGAAACAAAGTATCACTGCTCCTAGCTGCAGATGCACTAAATTTAGACAGGTTTCAGAGTAGCAGCGCTGCTAGTCTGTATCCGCAAAGAGAAAAGGATTACTTGTGGCACCTTAGAGACTGTGGCAATACCAGGTGTGATGCGACCACAAAGGAGCTCGGCCCAGCAGGATACAGGTGCCAGTGTAGCGCTTGTGGAGTTGCTTTGTGCCAGGAAGCGCAGGGGGTGCTGGCTTTTTTTTGGGGGGGGGGGGGATGGTGGCATCTTTCTTCTCTAGCCAACTTCCCAGCTGTGTGGGAGGCAGTGCAGAAGCCACGTCCTCATTCCCGCTGCACTGCTCCCGCCCTTTACAAAAAACCAGATCTCCAAGTCATCAAATGACAAGGCGAGCGCCCGGAGGCTCTTGTGGCTCCGGCAGCAGCTGCCCGCAGCAGCCGGGCAGGGGCGCTCTCCACTCGGAGCTGCCGGCGGCAGGAGCAGCGGACGCCTCCCCCGGCCAGCGGCTTCCCAGGCGGAGAAGTTCGCTCAGCCCCAGCCGAGCAGGAGGCGGCGGCGGCGGCGACTCGTGCGAGCTTGGCGGGGGGACGCGCAGACGTCGCCAGGAGCTGCCGCTGCCTGGACCTCGCCCCGCACCCCAGCCAGCCGCTCCCTCCCTCCGGCTCTGCCGAGCCGCCGCCGCCGCTGCATGAGGCGCGCCGGGCTGGTCTTCGGGGCCACCTGTTCCGCTCTGCGCCCGCCCGCGCCCACTCCCCCGGCCGGCCATGAACGCCTCGCTGGGCAATCAGACCGAGGCGGCGGGGCTCTTCTTCGCCAACAGCAGTGACGCCCTGGAGCGGGCCCTGGGCTGCTGCACCCAGGCCTCCGTGGTGACCGACAACGGCTTCGTGGTGACCGGGCAGGACGAGAGGAGCCTCTACATCATGCGGGTGGTGCAGATCGCGGTCATGTGCGTCCTCTCGCTCACCGTGGTCTTCGGCATCTTCTTCCTGGGCTGCAACCTGCTCATCAAGTCCGAGGGGATGATCAACTTCTTGGTGAAGGACCGGAGACCGTCCAAAGAGGTGGAGGCGGTGGTGGTCGGGCCCTACTGACAGCAAGTGCCTCCCGCCGAGGATCCGGCCAGGAAACAGGTGGCACTTTCCGCAGGCCCTCGCTGCTGCTGCTGCTGCTCCAGCGGCCAAGGTTGCCTTTTGCCCGAGGGGGCCAGCCCCACCCCGGGAAGGGGAGCGGAGGCGCCCCGGGACCCGCTGCTGGCTTGGGGGCTCTGTGACTGCTTGCTGCCCGGGGACGCTCCGATGCAAGTCTCGGGACTCCCGCGGCTCCTGAGATGGGTGGCTGGGCGGGACGGACACAGCCCCAGCAAGGAGCCAGGGCGCGTCTTTCTCTTCTGTGTGTGACCCGGCCAGAACTGAGCCTCCTGCAGCGTCTTGTATATAGTGATTATAATGCACTTTGCTGCCTGGTTTAAAAACGGGGAAGGGGAGGGGAGCGGGGGGGTTGGTAAGGAAATGCTGATTGTCAAATGTTAATTCCTGTTTTAGAGATTTTCCTTCCACAGTTTTTTATTCGTTTGATAACAACCAGGACGCGGGTTGGCAGTTCGGTGCCTCCAGAGAAACAACACTAACCACCCCCATGTGAATGTTTCGAAGTTGTCTTTCTACTGTCGCTCTTTTCGTAGCCAGGGTCCAAGTCACTCTTGAGCCCGCAGGAGCCGGCGAGCCTGAAGGCTGAGCCCTCGCTTCTTGTCTATGAATTGCACGGTTTACACAGCGAAAGGCGCTCGGGCGGGAACTGTCTTGGTGTGGTGTTTTTTTGTGGGGTTTTTTTTTTTTCTGATTTCATTTGCTTTAATAAATACATCTTAAACTTTTAGACTCTGGGGTCTCAGTAGTCCGTTTCCGCTTCCACAAACAACTACAAAGTTAGCTGAAGGGGTCTGCAGGAAGGATACAGCATCTGGTCTGTGCACTTTGCTAGCTCTCTGCTACTCAGCAGAAAAAAGGGTCATAGAGGATCGAGACAGAGGAAAGGGGATAAGACATTTTAGAAAACACAAGAAATTCTACTATTGTAACACCGCAGTAATCTCGAGGCAACGCCATTGCCTTTGCAATTATATTTATTTTTCAACAGTTGATGAGGTCTGTGGAATTAAAGGAATTCAACGAAACTGAGGTCAGTTTCAACCAAGTGTAATTTTAAGGCTCGTCCTCAGGTAGTAGGAAGGAGCTGGGAGAAAGGATACGCTTCTGCCACGATGTGATCCACCATGGAAAACATGTTACGCAGCTCATAAAAAGTGAGGAGTAGTGATCCGCTAGTGGTCATCACTACGCTAATTATTTTTAGAAAGGGGACTTTGATGAAAAAAGTATCGACCGAATCGATGTCCTTGGCAAGTCGATTCAGCCTGAAATATACATGTCCAATACCTGCTCTTTGCAACTCAGGAATCTTCAGGTTTTTTTTTTTTAATTCCTTCTTAGTAATAATGGCAAATAATGGCAATGAAGGCTTTGTGTGCCGAAAACTAGTATACAATCTAAAAGTAAGACCAGCACTTACAACAGCTTCTAAATGCTGGAGTCGTGCCAAGAGCCAGAAATGTGGCTTGCTTCTTGACACATTGTTCTAGCCTTTGATCCCTACTATAGCCCGATTTTAGGGCTTGTTGTACTCTGTGTGTGTTTTTCCCCAGAATACTTTCAAAAAATTAGATAAAATCCTGACTGAAAAGTGCATCATTGTGGTCACATTCCTTTGCGGTAAAAATTACACACTGAAAGGTTTTGAGTCTTTAGTGTATTTATTTATTTTAAAAGGATAAGGGAACATCTTTCTATGTGGAGTTTTGCATGCCGGTTTATCAAATCCCTAAGGGCTTGGACTAGTTGCTAGTGGTAAATCAATACATCTGCATTTACTCTAGAAGTAAAACTGGCATAAATGCTGTCACTGAATAAGGCATGCAAAAAGACTTCAGCAACCTGACTGAAAGGCAAGTGTCTCTGTCACTGACGTACAAAATATTTAAGCAAGACTTTAACTGTTATTTTAAATTCTAATATGCAAGCAGACCATTTTAATTTTTTCTTAGACTTTTCTTTAAAAAGTTTTTAAAATGTTGCTTGATCCATCAAAGACTCAACAAAAAGACATCTGATCTGACCAGGTCTTTTGTATCAATCAAATTATTAAAATGTTCCTGCTTCAGTTGATCAAGGTAACATTTATTAAATACAAACTGCACAATCAAGTTAACAGAGGGTGAAATTGAGCAGGTTCTGAGACTATAGTTCTCCTATGAATAATATACTGATAAATAATTAAGCAAGAAACGGAATTTACACAGTTCAACTCAAACCACTGAGACAAGCAGAAAATTCCCTGCAGCTCAACCATGCACTAATTTATTCACTGCATTTAAAGGAAAGACAGATCTCCCTGCTGCCTCTGGAATAAATGTGCTGTGGAATTTGTTATTGAATCAAAGAAAAGTCATGTTACTGAGACATCTTTCAAATGAGACATGTGACTGAAGTTCTTGCCAAACTCAATCTTTTCCTTAATTCACCTTCCTTTTTTTTTAGCTGGCATTGCAGTAGGCTGACAGAAGCGATAACTCCATAGGTATAAAGTTTAGTCATTTGAAACATCACATATAGACAGTGTTGCTAATAAACTAAGTTGCAAATGATACAGTATATTCATGAAACATTTGGGATTTGGCCCCATTCAACTGTGTTTATGACGCATAAACACTTGAAGAGTAACATACTATTGACTAATCTCTTCCAGAAGCCACAACAGTTCCACCATTGGAAATCTAAAGGATGAAAAACCTATTCTCATAACAAAACAAAACAGCAGCAGTAGGTGATTTACTGATCAATTGGACAGAATACCAGAAACCTGGCTCCAGCCCAACTAATGGATCTCTTATAAAGAATAAGCCCCCAGCCCTAACAAAATGTTTGTGACTGGTACATGACTTCTTTTTAAGCTCTTTATAATGACCATTCATTTCAATTCAGAAATTGTGTTTGAAAGAATTTTTTGTTCAAAAGTTTCTTGCCTAAATTCTTCCCTAGTACTAATCCCAGCTGACACCTACCCCTTTCTGGGGCAGAAACCCAGAGAAGCCATGAGGACTTTGCATAGTATAAATGCCCAGAATATCCCACTATTGTCTATGCTTCTTGAGTATCAATGGCAAGACAGAAGGAAAAGGAAACCGAGGGGAAATGGGTCTCTGAACCAGGCACAAATAATTGTCCCCCAAACTAATATATGCCGAGATTCTGATAACTACAATCACCTCCATTCTTCTACTATGGAGGAAATTGTTTACTTCCCAACTCACACTTACCTTCTAGACATTGCTAAACCCACTTGGGCACCAGCAGCTCTTGAGACTGATGGGCAGTCAGCTATGTGAAGAAGGTAGCTTCTTTAGATCATTTTACACCTCAGTGTAGTGGAGGTTTTAGGAGAGCATTTAGAAATATCTAATTCATGAAGGTACCCCTTTGTGATTTCAAACAAGCAACAACATGTGAACTCATAGAACACACCTAGAAGAAAATATTATGGGTTATGGCAAAGTAACTAGTTAGAATACCACATGATATAATAATATCAGCACTATATAGACGATTTATTTCCCTGATACTTACCTTGCCTAACTGCATATTGTTAATGTTTTATGGAATGCTAACTTATTTGACAATAAAATTGGTTTAATATTTCAGAAAAGCTGTGCGACAATTCAGTTATAAGATTAGCTCGACAGCGCACACACACTTTCTGTCTTGTTGCTTTAATGGCAGCAAAGTACTTTAACCCCCAAACTCCAGGTTAATCTTGCACCCTTTCATTTTCCAGTATATGAAGCTCTTGGAGAAAGAAACAACTCTTAGCACTTGGTGAAACAAAATATAAAATTGACACCATAATAAAGGTCCTGGAAGGAAATTTTCTATTATACATAAAAAATGCTGATCCCATTGATGTTCAGTGACTTTAATGGAGCTAAGGATTTCATCCTAGAACTTCAATCCGGGTGCCTGTTCTCAGCTGTTTCACAGAGCACAATGCCAAAGAATTCACACAGTTACAGGAGTGTGCAGGAGAATTGGAATTTCATTCCACTCCACATTCAGATTATTTGCCAATCCCCTGAATTTGAGATATACCTATATCTACTTTGCTTTGTTTAAAAGAAGGGTAAAGTCAATGCAGTTGTACGGAAGTAACGGAGAGGAAGCTGGCTTTATTCTTTACATTTGCTTCAAGTGTGCAAAACAAGATAGAACAGAAAATAGATTCCTTATGTATGTAAATTCTTTAGGTCTGTGATAAAACATAGCCCTTAGAAAACCTATACTAATTTCATTATGTCCCCTTCCTCCCTATCAACTAACGGCACATTTCTCTTTTGTGTCTCACTTGGCTTTTGCCTCTTTCCTTGCAGCTGGCTATGGAATGCTGTTTTTGAAACATCACTGAATCATTACAGATTTCAGCCTTTCTCTAAAAGCTGATTACAATGTGTGATGAGCCCTCAAAACAAGAATCAAAAAGAGTATTTTAGTCACTTGCCAAAAAGCCACTGAAACATTTTGCCCAGTGTGTTAAATGGGTACACTTATTAAGATAATTCCAGCAACTGCAATTGCTTTTAGATATACCCATGTAAATGTTCTCAGGCTAAATTTGTTTAGATGGCTGTGCAATTTTAATTTTATGCTCACCATATTATAGTGGCAATAATAATAAAATGAAAATTGTAAGTATCTAGAAAATGTATGTTTCTTCTGGTAAAATACATGCAAGCACTGGGTCTTGTTATGCACTTCTATTTAGGAAAAATTCCCATTGATTCCAAATGGAGGTTAGCCTGAATAAGGAGTGTAGGATCCTTACCATTGTCTATTTGTAGTTAATAAACCAGGGTTTATTTGTAGTGACAGGCTCAGCTAAATTATAAGGACATATGTGTACTATCATATTTATCACTTAAAGTGATCATATAGATCATTTAATATATCCAATATACTGAGTACTTTTTATTGTTTTTTTTTAATTGGATTGGACAGCTTTAACCAAGCATAATGAAATAGTTTCTCCTAATAAAATATTTATGTTATGCAAGTATAGAGAACACATTTTAATATTGATCTCTAGTTGAGAAAATTTTAAAACATTGAGTTTGAGGTCACAGTATCTATCATGAATCATTAAAGAACACCTCTTTTTTTTCTGAGCATGCATAAATGGATTTTGCTGAATGAAAGATCCATTGATTTCAGCACACCATGACTCCAGATGACTAGTATAGTTAAAGAAGCCTCAAGGAACATCATGTGTCTCAATTATTTTGTATTCAAGAGCAATGGTGGCCTCTCCACAATTGAGGTTTAGACCTGCTGTCCACTAAAAACCTAATTTCCCCACTGGTCACCTCAAAAACATCCTCAAACAAGATCTATTCCTCTTCACACCGTCCTATGTGGCCAGCGGCTGGCAGCCATTTTATTTATTTATTTATTTAGGCTAATATTTTAGATAAGTCTGCTTCTCCTGGTTTCCACTGCATTGTGGCGCTTACTCAATTGCTCCCCTGGTACCCTGAAGTTTCTGTAGTCACTGCAACTTTAAACACAGCCCCCTCTGTGGGTAAAAGGAAAAGAACAGCTGCAGAAGTTCAGACCTTACCCCCACCTCTCCTTTGGACCACCAATGCCCAACCTCCGTGTATGCTGGTGTTCAAATAGCTGGGCGCCATGCCTTTAGTGAACATCCTTTGCACAATCCTCTGAAATTCTGCCCCCTTCCCCTCTCTTTATTAGAACTGCATCAGCTGGAAAGAC